GCACTTGGGAGGCAGGCACGAGAACCACTGAGCTAAATCCTTGGCCCTGGTGTAGTTTTTTTGATCATGGCTAATTAGAGTTCTATATGCTTCACTTATCTGTACGTCAAATTCTTTTTCCATGCTTGGGAAGTTTTCTGCCATTATTTGTGTGAACAGGTTTTTTACGTCATTTGTGCTATCTCTTGCTTTTTCATTGACTCTGATCAGTGTTAAGGGTGGTACTGGGGATTGAACTCAGGACCTTGTGCTTGCAAGGCAGGTCCTGTGCCACTGAGCTAAATCCCCAGTCCTACTCTGATCAATCTTATGTTATTATTATTATTATTATTATTATTATTGGTATCAGGGATTGAACTCAGGACCTCTAACTTTCAAGGTTGGTGGCAGAACCACTGAGGTAAATCCCTGGCCCAATCTTATGTTATTCTTCTTTACATCATCTAGCAGCTGTTGGATTTTTTCATGGTCCCTTGCTATTTTTAAGAAATCTTTCATGATCACTAGCTGCAATCCTGTTGTCTATATCTGGTGGTCTGTCCTCATATTGGATCATTCTGTTGTATATACTTTCAGTGGCATGTTTAATCTCCTGGATATCTGTTTAATCTCTCATGGATTCCATTTCTTACCTATGTTGGGCATTCATAGTTTCCATCATTTTCCTAAGCTCCTCTATTTTTTTTTTTAAATCTGTATCTTCTCTAGAGTCACTAACCATATTTTTCATTATGGTCATTATCTCTGTGGTTATCTGAGAAATTATTTGATTTTTTTTAGGGCCTCCATCTGTTTTGTTACTTCTGCTGTTAACTCTTCAGAGTACAGGTGGTGACTTTCAAATTTTTCCACCTCATTGCCCCCTGGGTTTGCCTTTGGTGTGCTGGAAATCTGGGGTTGCATCTTGTTTAAGTGACTTCTCGTTTTTATTTTTATTTTTTTTTAGTTTAGTTCTTAGGTTGCTTGTAAATTGCATGGCAGGTAGCTTTATTGCTAGTATTTAGCTATGAGGCTGGGGTCAGATTTGTTGAGTCTGCCATAGTTTATGTGCCTCCTGCCAGCTTGAACTCTGCTCCCTGACGTCCTGCTGACTTGGACTGGCACCCTCACTGAGACAGGAGGAGCCACGAGATGGAGCTGACCGGTAGCTGTTCTGTGTTCTGAACTCAGCTGGCCCTTCTCCAAGATGGCTACTGGCCAATCACCCTCTACTGAGTGATGTCTGAATCCGAATAACTGACCAGCCACTGCAGTCTGCTGCATCCACCGCTTTACTCCACTGGTGGTTTTCTCCGTGGAGGCCTCTGGGGTTGCCAGTAATCACTGTGTCTGCAATTCTGACCTGCCTTTCCCATACCATGAATCCAGACCTTGGGACAAAGCATCACCTGCCACCTCCCTCTTTTTTCATTGAGGTCTCTCTCTTTGCCTCTCCCTGTGAACTTCAATTCTTGCTTCAGATCCTTCCTGGGTCCTGGGACCCACTTCCCCCTCCTCCTCCTCCTTTTCCTCATGCTGCTATAGTCTAATTTCAGGACACCAAATCCTGGAGAGGTTCTTTCTCTGCTGTTCACCACTCTGCCATCTTCCCAGAAGTTATTGCTAGTATTTAAAACCCGAAGGAAATGACCACTTCTCAGAGACATCTTCCAGGTGTAGCTGGCTTTTGGGTTTTGAGTCTGGTGGAAGATCCTACCTCTTCAATTTATTGAGGATGAGAAGTTGCTGCCTATTTGCCTAGCCCCTGGTTCTTTGCCACTGGCCTATAGTATTGTTTATGACCCTTAAGCATTCTCAGTCTTAGCATAACAGGAAGAACAACTGATTAGAGCAATTATGTCACCTTGGCAAAAGTAGTACAATCAGCTATAACAATAGCATCAAACAGCTTAGAAAATGACAAACTGTGGTATTAATTTTCCACCTTTAACCATATGAACTATATTTGTGGTTGTATAATAAAATCTAAAACAAACCAGAAAATTGTTTTTGTTTTTTTGGTACTGGGGATTGAACTCAGGTCCTTCTGCTTTCAAGGCAGGTGGCAGAACCACTGAGCTAAATCTCTGGCCCCAGAAAATTGTGTACAGTAAATATGCCCTCAATGTGGCAATTTTACCCTCAGGAGAGAAAATTTAAAAGGAGATGGGGAAAAAATAGAGAAAATGAAGAAGAGGAAGAGATTAGAAGCAAAGCTGGAGCACTTTGGGAAACTGGTAAAGACAGGAGGGAAAGAGAGAAGGAAGAAATAAAAATGAGAACAGCACAACAAAACAAAGAGAAACAATGTTCACACTCATATAAAAACAAGAACAAACAAGAAAGAAAACAACAAAAAGAAAACAGGAAAATTTTCAAAAAAAAAAATTATCCACTTCAGGGCATGTCTCTGCTATCACTGGTAGACAGTGTGGGCAGAGCACAGAACCGTGTTGATTAATCCCAGCAAGCCAGATATAGATTTATGGCGGGGTAGTGGATAATCCCAGGAAGCCCACACCTTTAGTTCCACTAAAGTTCAGGCTAGTTTCTGGCTGTGAGGCTGGAACCCAATTTGTTGACCCTGCAATATTCAGTGTGCCTCTTCCCACCTTGAACTTGGCTTGCTGCTGGCTTTAACTGGGCTCCTTGACCTCCTGCCAATTTGAACTCAGTTCTGCCTCACCCTGACACTAGGAGCTGCTAGTTGGAGCCCACAGTTGCTCTGAGTTCTGAGCTCAGTTGACCCTTCTCTAAGATGGCTGCTGGCCAATTCCCCTCTCCTGGGGGGGGGGTTGTCTGAACCTGAATAACACACTAGCCACTGCAGTCTGCTGAGTCCACTGCTCCATTCCACTGGCAAATTTCTCCATGGAGGCCTCAGGGGTCCCCAGTACTCACCATGGGTCTGCAGGTTCAAGCCACCCCTCCCACACAGTGAGTCAAGACTCAGGGAGAAAGCACCACTTGCCACCCCCTCCTTCTGTGTCGAGGTCTCTCTTCATTCTCCCGGTGGGCTTCAATTCTCGCTTCAGACCCTTGCTAGGTCCCAGGGACCCATTTCCCTCTTTGTCTTCCTCATGTTGCTGTATTCCACCGTGTGGATAATGCATTATGTCTGATCATATACCTTCTTCAACTGTGAACTCCTTTAGCATTGTTTTTTTTGTTTTTGGTACCGGGGATCAAACTTGGGTCCTTCCGCTTGTGCAGGAGGCGTCGAAACCACTGAGCTAAATCCCCTGCCTTTTTTTTTTTTTTTTTTTGGTACCTCGGATCGAACTCGGGTCCTTGGCTTTTGAGGCAGGCGGTGGAACTACTGAGCTAAATACCCAGCCCCCACGTTTTATTGTTTTAAATGTACTGGGGGCTGAATGCAGGCCCTTCACATTGAGCTACAATCCCACCCCTTTTGAGTCTTGCTAAAATGGCCCAGGTTGGCCTCAAAGCTGTGATCCTCCTACCTCACCCTCCCAGAGTACTGGCATTCCAAGTGTGTACCACTGTGCCTGGCTGTTTATGAAATTGGTGACTGGAGTGGTCAGAGGACCCTCCAGGGAGAGGTGAAAATTCCTGGTGCCTGGGTTTGAAAGAGGTGGGGCACTCACAGCAGGCCTTAGGACTGGCAGAAAGATACCATGCCACCACAATGGCTGCCTCTTCTGGCTCATGTTGAGACTTACGTGTGGTTCCCAGACTTTCATTAGACTTCCCCACACCAGTTCCAGAAAAGTAAGTGAGGGAGGGAGAAGGTTGATTTATTTCTCATATGTCAGTATCTCTCTCCCAGGAGCAGAGCCTACTGACTAAAACTTAAGGGTTTGGCAGCTGGGTAGAATCCAGGAAGTAGAAATCAAAGTGTCCACATCAGAAGTCAAAGTTCAAACCTCAGTAACAGACCAGGGTCAAACTTCACAAAGTCAGAATTCAAGGTTCATGTATGTCCTGAGATCCCGCTCCCAGGCGCTGTCCTTTTCCTCCTGTCTTCTGTTCTCCCTCCGGCTCAGTGTGACCACCCGAAGGGCTCTCTCTTTCCCAGACACAGCCCGGAGATCTCGAGCTGGGAAGTGTGTGACTCGAGGCTGCGGTGCTGGTCTGTAGCCCAGTCCTTCCTGGTCCCTCTTGAGGACAGTGGGAACAGGGTTGGCACGGCCTTCACCCTGGGGCCCCAGCCCCATTCCTGGCTCCCACCCTCCCTTCAGCAGCAGCCTGAAGCCAGGGCTGGATGTGGGCACCCCAAGGGGATGGTTGGGGAGCTGGGGACCCCTGGCTAGTGACAGCAGGTGAGCTGTGGATGTATAGTGGTTGGAGTCTTCAAAGCAGATGTCACAGGTCTTGCAATACTGGGGGTTGGGAGAGGGGAGCCTGCAGAGAAAAGAAAAAGTTTTAAGGGCAAAGAAAGGGACAACTGAGGCCTCAGAAGGGGCTGGCAGGGCAGGGCAGAATGCTTCCAGCTTTCCTGCTAAAGAACAAATTGCCTTCCTGGAACTCAGCATCACCAGTTTTGTTTTTTGTTTTGGTGCTGGTGATTTAACCCATGGTCTAGCTGGGTGTGGCACTTAAGAGGCTGAGGCAGGATCACTGTGAGTTCAAGGCCAACCTGGGCTACAAAGTGAGTTCAAAGCCAGTATGAACCACACAGCCAGGCTCTGTCTCAAAACAAAAACCCACAGCTTCTTGCACGCTAGGCAAGCTCTCTACCACTGAGCTACATTCCTAGCCCTCCCCATTAACCATAAGGGTTCCAAAGGGGAACAGTGGGAAAAGAGTTGGTAACTGTTATGGTTTGGGTCTAGCTGTCCCCTCAAAGCCTCATGAAGTCTTAGATGGAGCTTTTTTTTTTTCTTTTTCTGGTACTCAGGATGGAACGAAGGACCTTGGGACTGTGAGGCAGATGCAGTGCCACTGAGCTAAATCCCCGGCCCTAGATAGAGCTTTTTCAAAGGTACCTGAATTCAGACTGTGTGACTGAATCATGGTGTAATACTAGGCTCAAGGGCACTAGGATTAAAGCTCTAAGTGCTACCCACCCTAAGAAGTCTAAGATAAAAGGGGCAGGAAGAGGCTGTTAAGGTCCCTTGCTGCTTTTGCTACCACATGGGTGCCATGAAGTGTTTTTCCTCTGCAACACTCCTCTGCCATGTGCCACTCTGCCTTGGAGCCAGCTGCTTATGGACTGAAACCTCTATAAACTGTGAGCTAAACCTTTCCCCTTTAACTTTCTTTTGTCTCAGCAAGGAGAGAAAAGAAACTAAGACAGTAACCAAGCCTCACAAGCTCTTGGACAAGTGTGAAATGATAAGGACTATGACTGTTCTAGCACTCAAATATATTGACTCATTAAATCCTAACAACTGGCCCATGAAAAAGGTGCTTATTATCCCTGTTTCTCAGAAAAGGAAACTGAGACACAGATGTAAAGTTGGTTCCAAGTTAGTAGACTCAGGATTTAAAACCTAGGAGCTCATGTCCATAACCACTGTACTATATTTCCTTAACACTGGAGAACGAAGAGATTCCTTATAGCTGTTCTGGGGGCTGTTCCTGCTGTGAGGCAGCCAGGAAAAGCAGAACACCCTGAAAGATGCATATGGATTTAAGGCTCCCCCTTACCGGTTCTCTGGGTGCCTAGTCTCTCCATGGCTCTCCCTGACCATGCGGGCCACCTCAGGGAAGCCTGCTTCTTCAGCCAGCTGAGCAGCATCCCTGCCACCCAACTCGCAGACCCCAACCCAGGCAGCCCCCCGGCCTAGGAGATAGCGCACAGCAGCCCCCTGGCCTGCTCGGGCAGCACACATCAAGGGGGTCCACCAGAAAGCATCCCGAGCATTGATATTTCCTCCAGCTCCCCCTGCTTCACGGGGCTCCAACAGCCTTCGAAGTTCTGCCACATTTCCCTCCTGGGCTGCCTTCAGTATCCACTGGGTCATCTTGTCCTCATCCACATGGGATCTTCTCTGTCCATGTCTTCCTGATACTCCCGCTTGTGCTGTTGCTTCCCTCATTGCTCTTCTTTTCTTCCTCTTTCCCTCCCGGGCAGCCTCAGGTTGAGCTCTCTGGGGTTTGGAGGCAATGCTCTCATCTGCAATCAGGGCCTCATAGAAAGCCCGGGCTGCAGCCCCATCCAGGGTAGGCTCTGGCTCCTCAGGCTGGGGCTGTTGCTGCCCATCCTTCCAGAGGTCACTGGGGTTAGTAGCTGGAGTGAACGTAATGAGCATTGGCCTGGACATAGCTTTTGGAGGAATTGAGAAAATGAAGACTACGTAAGGATGAGACAGGCAACCCTCAGCCACCCCTACCATGGTGTCTATGGTGACTAGCGCCACCTCCAGGGGCCTCCTGGAATGAGGAAAATTAGCTTTAGAATAAAAAATACTCCTGCCCCCAAACTGACCCATTTTAGAACCATGGATCCTGTGAAAAAACACATAACCCTAGAACAGACCCTGTCCCTTAGTAAAGGTTAATACAGAAAACTCTGGGGCCGGGATTTAGTTCAGTGGTTCCGGTGCCTGCCTTGCAAGGGTAAGGTCTGGAGTTCGATCCAAAAAAGAAGTCTCAAGAGCTAGTGGTGCAGCTCGGTGGTAGGAGACTTGTCTAGCGTGGAAGGGCCTTGGGTTCCATCCCCAGAACCCCAAGAGAGATAAAAAGGAAAGAAAAACAAAAAACAAAAAGTTAACTAACTCCACAAGACATCTATCTATATCTATCTATAGGTTCTGCGTTGCACCCCACTATCCTCTCTCCAACAAATAATGCCAGGCTCTCTTTGAACACATTCCCATTCCATAACACATACCATTAAGAAACATCGGCCTTGCCCTTTAGATTTTCCCTGGTCCTGTTTCAGAAGTCTCCTCTTCCCAAACAAAAACAGACGTTTTTCTGGAAAAGGCTCCTATCGGCATCGCTTTGTAGCTTCCATATCGCAAAATCGCGATATTCCAATCTAAAGAGTTGACACAATTGATCACACCACACGAAGATGAAAGCATGGCAATAACATAAAACCGCTCCCAAGGTTCGATTTCCTGACCCTTTCCAAGTATGCTCGCAAAGCGTTGCGTGCGGGGCAGCCCGAGGCCCCAGGAGGACGCCTCGCGTCGGTTGGGATCCTGCTTTAACAGAAAGCCCCACAATGCCCTTCGCAGTCTTCAATGTGACGCCCCTGCTCCACGCTCATTTTGAGGCTGGGAACCCACTCTCCGGGCTAAGAAAGGCCCTGAGGAGGCAGAAGGTAACACGGGGAATGCCGAGAAGCTGTGAAATGAAATAACGTCCAGGTGCCCCTCACCATTATTCTGACCAGGGTTCGAAGAACACACTCAGAGCCCGCAACAAAACACTCCAAACCCTAAAAGTAAATGGAGAAATGCAAAGGGACGCTGAATAGCAGAATGGCTGGAGCCACCTCAGGTTAGCGCACTGGATCACTCTTCCGACCACTCGGCTCACCTCAGCCCCAGCACACCCGACCCAAGTCCCTCAGCGTGAAGCCAAGCGCACCTCCTGCCTCAGGGCAGATGCTGGGCGGAACAGGGTCCCTGTCGGAAGCTCCAGGGCCGAGCCTGACAGGCGGCCAGTGGATTGGTCCGGAATGGAGTTAGCCGCCTGGGCGGCAGCGCTGTGCCGCGCCGGAATTCAAAGAGAACCGTGTGAGGGGAGCAGCTGGGAGGGATCCCACCGTCTCGCTCCCATTCCTGCCCTCGCTCAGCCCCTAGACGCAGGGAACTCAAGACTATTTCCCAGGCCCCTTGGCCCAAATTCGGCGCTTGGCTTCCGCTTCCGGTTTTATCTCGCTGCGCCCCGCCCCCAGGCGTCTTCCTCTAAGGTCTCGCGACCCTAGAGAAGTGCCCGGTTCCTCCTGGGATTCGTAGTTCACTTCTCCCTCGTCTCGCTAGTCTTTCATCCCACTGAGAACTTCATCTCCCGGCGTTCTCCGAGGCGCCCGGCTCTTGGCGCCTGCGCACTACTCCCTTCCCCCGCCCTCCCCAATTTCCACCCCCCCACCCCACTTCGACTGCCGCGGTCGGTCCGCGGCCTGCGCTTCGGCGGTCCGCGGCGTTGCTCGCTAGCAGCAGCTCCCCTCCCCCACCCCGCTCCCGGTTCCCGTCCCGCTGGTGAGTCTGAGGTCCCCGTCCTGAGTCCCCTGTCCCTGGGCGCGGCACGTGGGGGGGTCTCCGCGCCTGATGTGGGGGCGAAGAAGGAAGTGACCTGGTCTGGTACCAAAGGAGGGAGGGTGGCTGAGAGTGGCTGAGGGCCGGAGGCGGGATGCGGAGAGTCCTGTGGAGCGGACCTGACGGCCGCCCCGAGCCTGTGCGAAGAGGGGCCTGGCTCTTGCTTGGGAAGGATAAACTTCGGGACCCTGGGGTAAGGCGCTGGGGACAGGCAGTCACCTACGGTGGTAGGAAGCAGAGGGCTCTGCCGGGGCTGCCACCGAAGGGAGAGGAGCCTGGCCCTCAGGAGCGCCGGCTGTGTGGGTGGGCCGGTGGGTCAGTACCTGCTGGGTTCTCGCAAGTGGTGAAACTTCAGAGAACTTCTCATCTCACAGAAAAAGGGGTGAGATGAATAAGAGAAGTTGGAGAGGGGTGCTGCAGAGCTTGCGATCCTTTAAGAAGGGGTGGCCCCAGGTTCTTCCGTGCTTAGAAGCAAAGTGTGGGAGGAGGGAGGATGCCAGAGACAAGGAGACCTGGGGCTTACACTCTTGTTTTTCCAGCCGACGTAAAGATGAGCAGCTCAGAGGAGGTGTCCTGGATTTCCTGGTTCTGTGGGCTCCGTGGCAATGAATTCTTCTGTGAAGTGAGTCCTCTTCTTCCCTACTTGGCTTCTCCATACCCCACCTGGTCAAACATCCCCTGAGATGTTTGGCTCCTACACCCTTGTCTTACATGCAGGCATGGGCACTCCTTCCTGTTCCGGAGGGATCCTATCAATAACTCTCCACTAATGTGTGGTAAAGTGGCAAGACTGGGGCCCAAGACTGAGCCCCCTACCCTGCAGCAGTATGATACTGGATTAGCCAATCTGTGCCTTTTCTGTTACTAGAATGATATTGGTAAAGTCTATCTCTGGTAGCTGTTAGAATTGAAATGGTGCCTGTTAGTGTTTGGGAATGTGCAAAGCTGTGTGTTAATGTAAGGGATTCTAACTGCCTTCAGAAACCAAGCTATTCAGCCCCCATTGTCCTCAGAGAGCCAGCTGTCCCTAAGGAGAGGACAAACCGGTTCCTAGAAATGAGGTGCAGAAGTAGAGTGATTTTTGAAAGGAATGTCTCTGTAAAGATACGCTGTATTTGCTTATTGTTCGAACAGAAAAACTAAAGCTTTTAGGCCAAGAAGCGATAAACTAAAGATTTTATGGGAGAGAGTGTGTGTAAGCTGGGAGGAGAGACTTTAATACTTCTGTGGAGTTGACAGTGGGAACGTAATAGTTGTAGTTGGTTAAGGACAAGGCATCAGTTGGAGCATCTTAACCCTGGCCAAAGCCAGGATTCTGATACGGATTAATCTCTTAACTTCTGTGTCCTGACAGGTGGATGAAGACTACATCCAAGACAAATTTAATCTTACTGGGCTCAATGAACAGGTGCCTCACTATCGACAAGCTCTAGACATGATCTTGGACCTGGAGCCTGGTGAGGCATCCTCAGGGTTGTTTGGTATATGTGTGTGCACATACTTTTTCTCTCTTACAATCCCTGTTCACTTGCTTCTTGATTTGTTTTTTGTTTTTGGTGTTTTTTTGGTACCAGGGATCGAACTCGGGAACTTGCGCTTGCAAAGCAGGTGGTGGAACCACTGAGCTAAATCCCCAGCCCTTGCTTCTTAATTTTTTAAATTTTTGTACTGGAGATTGAACCCATGGCCTTTGCAGTACATACCACCACACCCAGCGCTTGAATTTTTAAATTTCCTTTTGGTTCTCCAACTCCTATAACCCAAGATCCTCTGCTTTATTTTGATCTCCTGCTTGACTCTTGCTTCATTGATTGACTGGTAACACTTGTTCCCTTGCTCTCTAAATCTGTAACTCAGTTCTATTCATAATGCCACTTCCCACGTAGGTCTTATTTACCACTTCTTTCTCTGGCCTTGCATCCTCTAGTCTAGAGTCCTTTTGCATTGATATCTTTGCAGTTCTGTGTTGGGGGAGTTAGAAGGGGGAGAGGAGAGCAGAGCCTGAAGGGGTGTGGCAAGAAGGCAGAGCTGAAGGGTCAGTTCCAGATTTCTGGGTCAAATGCCCAGGTGATGAATTGGGTGAAGTTCAGAGATGGGTGCTGAGCAAACTAGTGAGTGGCCATGGGCCATGGGCGGGGTGCCTAGGAAAGTTGAAAAACAAGAGGTTGCATTTGGCTGGCCCATGTTTCAGATGAAGAGCTGGAAGACAACCCCAACCAGAGCGACCTGATTGAGCAGGCAGCTGAGATGCTTTATGGATTGATCCACGCCCGCTACATCCTCACCAACCGTGGCATCGCCCAGATGGTGAGGCCTCTCTGCTCCCACTTGATTCCTAAGGCAGTAAGGGAAGCAAAGGTTCCTCAGCAAGAAGTCATGCTTCATTCCAGTCTAGGAGTCTAACTGAGAAGAAGGGAAGAACCTCAGAGCTGGGGCCTGGAAGTTGAATCCTTACTGGGGTCATGCTGAGGCGGGTATTTTCAGGGAGGGAGACGAGACCTTGGACAGGGAGTTATAGAATGCCACTTCAGGAAACAAATAGCAAATGGCATTGATATTCTGTAGCCCTCTAAACAGGAAGAGACATCTGAGGGCCTCTCTGGGCCTGAGAAGGGACTCCTGGTCAGAGTGATGTCGGTTGGGTGGAGGAGGGAATTGCTCCTTTGCACTTAGCCACCCACCCTTTCCATTGTGTTCACCTCAGTTGGAAAAGTACCAGCAGGGAGACTTTGGCTACTGTCCCCGTGTGTACTGTGAGAACCAGCCAATGCTTCCCATCGGTGAGTTGAAGGGAGAGGAGGCCACCATGTGGCAGTCCTCCGAGAAGTTGGGCCTCTGTGGGTCCGTGCCTGAGTCCTGGGGGGAGATAGGGCAGAGTTGGAGGTTCGTGGTCTACAGTATCTGGCTGTCTCCCAGGCCTTTCGGACATCCCAGGTGAGGCCATGGTGAAGCTCTACTGCCCCAAGTGCATGGATGTGTACACACCCAAGTCCTCAAGGCACCATCACACGGATGGCGCCTATTTCGGCACTGGTTTCCCTCACATGCTCTTCATGGTGCATCCCGAGTACCGGCCCAAGCGACCTGCCAACCAGTTTGTCCCCAGGTATGGACCAGGACAAAATCTCCAAGGGTCAGAGGGAAGGCCCAGGATTCCCAGGAAACGATTCCCAAAGTCAGGGCTTTGCCTGGTGTGGTGCATGCCTATAATCCCAGAACTCAGGAGCTGAGGCAAGAGGATCAGCGGCTACATAGCAAGACCCTGTCTCAAAAAATAAAACCAAACTCCAGGCTTCTGGCTGCTGAGTGACTGTGGGAAGTTACTGAACTGCCAATGCCTCAGTTTCCTTGTCCAGAAAACAATGGTGGTGCTAGGACATGCCTGGCAGCATCTTTATCCATGTGAATTATTTAGAATCCCTTGAAATACCATTTAAGTAGTAGCTGTTATTGCCACCATCTCAGGTGCTCAACCTTTTGCCAGGAGATCTCAGAACCTAGTTAAGCATGGTTTATATTCCTGATGTGTTATTTTTATTCTGTACTAGGAAAGAAAGGTTCTGCTTTATATTGAAACAAGTAGTGATGTGTATCTCCTAGAATTTGAGCCCCTTTTTTTAGCTTGTTTCTGTTTATTGCTGACCATTAAACCCGGAGTCTCATGCTTGCTGAGCGTGAGCATATGCTCTACCACTGAGCCACACCCTCAGCTCCCTGCCCCCCTGTTGGGGTTTGTTTTGTCTTGTTTTGTTTGGGAACAGGATCTCACTATGTTGCCCAGGCTAGGCTCAAACCTCTGGGCTCTAGGTAGTCTCCTGCCTCAGCTTCCCCAGTAGCTGGGACTAGAGGTGCACTCCACCACACCCAGCCTGGAATTTGAGTTTTAATGGATGTGCAAGATAACTATTTATGAACAAATGAATTTGAGGACCGCTGTCCTTAAGCATTGAACAAGCCCTTGGAGGAGCTGGGCTGGGGGTGGCAGGCCCAGGATGGGGCTTACCCTACTCTCTCTCTGACCTCTGTTCTGGCCCAGGCTCTATGGTTTCAAGATCCATCCAATGGCTTACCAGCTGCAGCTCCAAGCCGCCAGCAACTTCAAGAGCCCAGTGAAGACGATTCGCTGATTCCCTATCCCACCTGCCCCTCGCTCTTTGACACCACCTTTCCTTGACTGCCGCCCTTTCAGGAGCCCTCTCTGGTTTTTAGTTTAAATTAAAGGAGTCATTACTGTGGTGGGAATATGAAATAAAATGGAAGAAAAGGCCATGAGCTAGTCGGCTGGTGCTTGTGATTGGGGAAGGGAAGGTGGTGGTGCTGGACCTCAGGGGCACGCAAGGCCCAGCCCACCCTCCCCAGGTTGGAAACCAGTGCCGATTGGTTCCCCATGGGCCTGGGTGATGTCCTTAGAACAGAGCAGAGCGGAATTCCTAGCCTGGGTGTGGGAAGGTTAAAAGGAAAAGGTGTCAAAAGACTGGAGAAGTATTTTTCCTCTCCGGGCACCACGGCTATGTGTTTATACCGCAGCAGACTTAATCAGTAATACTATATTTCGGTTTTGGTTTTAAAGGGAATGTAGTCCTAAAATAAAGGGGGCTAAGGGGTGCAGAGAGGTGAGGTCCAGATTGTGGCTCAGTGGTGTCTGTGCGCCCCCTGCTGGGGGAGCTGTGCCATGCTTTTTTCTGAAGGCTGGGTGGGGGCGCTTGTCCCTGGCCAAGCACAGTGGGAACTGCCTGTGTGGAGGACAGTAGGTGGTGCCAGAGACAGAAATAATCCATGGCCCTGAGGGGAGTAAATAGGTCCTTGGGGGCCACGTAGGATAGAGATAGACACGTGGGTAAAGATTCAGTTGTCCAGGTAGTACCCACTGGTCTGGGCCGCTGCTCCCATGCTCAGGAACCAGAACTTGTGGGTGAGGACACATTGTCCCTCCTGCCAAGGTAATAACTTCCTCCTTGAGCCAGGATCCTGCCCCAGGCAGGAATACAGCTCTGCACCTCTGGAAGCTCCTGTTTAGACTGCCTGCCAAAAGCACCCTGAAGCTCAGAATCAAGGAGCATGGTCCAAAGGAGGTGGGGTTTCGAGGGGTCCCACAGGAACTGCTTCTGCCCGAATTCCGTAATGAAGGGCTATGTGCTTGTAGACATGCTGGTCATGGTGGGCTTCGCACTGGGAAAGGGTAAGTGGAGCCCAGGGCCAGGGAGGGAGAGGGAGCAGCTGGTGTCCTGGATGCTCAGGCTTCCTGCAGGGTAGGAGACATAGGAGTGAGCCGCTACTCCCATCTCCCCTTCTGCACTCCCCAGTTCCTGTTCCCGAAGTCCGGACCTGCCACTTCTGCCTCTTAGAAGACCCTGCCGTAGGATGCATTTCCGGCTCAGAGAAGTGCACCATCAGCAGCTCATCCCCGTGCATGGTGATCTCCATCTATTATGGTGAGTCAAGTTCCAGAAAGGGAACAGTGTGGCTTGGTCTCACGGATGAGGGCTGCTCGGAGCCTGGGTGACAGGAAGAAGACAGCAGAATCTTGGAAGGAGGGATTGGGAGTGGAGGCCAGCTGAGCACATTTTTCTTGTCCTTTCTAAAGGTGCCTAGGATAGAAGCTGGATATAGGTAAGGGCTGGGGAGTGCCAGAGGCAGAAAATCCAGGTTTGAGGACTGGGAGGGAGGCTACTATCAGGGGCTACAGCTGTCCCCTTTGCTCTGCAGGTCAGTGTCCGCTTCAACATCTGAGGCTGTGGACAGATTAGTTCCTACCACTGCCAAGAAACGCGTAGCACCTACTTCTCACAGCACTGGTATCAGGCCCATGGCTGTCAGTACAATTACTGCAACTCCTGGACCAGTCCCCAGCTCCAGAGCTCCCTGCCTGAGCTCTCCGAGAAGGCCCTGGCCCTGCCTCTGTCCAACGCCCAGGTCTGCCAGTTCTACCAGGCCCTAAACCTCTCCTTGCCCCTGCCTAGCTTCCATGCTGGGAAGGAACCTGAAGGCCTAGACCCCCTGGCCACCCTGCCCCTGGAGCTAGGCTTGTCCGTGGCTGACCTGTGCCATAGGTACTTGTTCTTCGGCAGCTCAGGACTTCTGGATCTACCCAGGGCTGGACCCTGACTCCTTCCCCTTCCCACACCACAGCGCGTTCAATGCCCCTCACCCCCAGCCTCCTGCAGTACCCTCACCCTGTGGTCCTGTGGCCTCCTGGGCTTCCCTCCTTTGTACCTCCAGCATCTGTATGATTTAGGTTTCACGCCACCCCCCATCCTGCACTGCTCTTTCTGCCTCCTAGAAAAACTCAAGCATAGATTCTGCCTATCCAGACGAGAGAAGGGCACAGAGGAACCATCATCTGAGTGCTCCACACCCCCTCCAGTGGTCACCTGCCATGTCCACTCAGACCTGGTACCGTATCCCCTTAGGCCTGTCTCTAAGACTCAGTGCCACACTGGCCTTTCAGCAGGAAGGGTGTCTTTGCCGATTTCCTAACGTGGCAGTCTGGTGTCCCTTCCTCGCTGTCTCTAGCCCCTCTCCTGTCCCAGCCTTCTGCTTTGGCCTCCTGTCGTAGTCTTTGGCCTCCTCAGACCCATTTCACCTCACTGAGTCCTTGCTGAAAGGAGAGGAGAGGGTCTGTCTGGATTTGCTCCATGTCCCCCATTTCCCTCCACAATAAACTAGAACTGGACTCACTGTCACATTGTTTGTGGGGTCAGGTTCCAGTGTGGGCAGGCATAGATAGATTGAAGAGAGTTAGGTAAGTGTGGGATTCAGACAGGATTGCAGAACCCTGCCCACTCTCCTTGGCATCGTGGCTTCCTTTCACATCCTTCCCCACCCTGCTCAGGTCAAGATCAAAGTACCAGGATTATGATTCCCCAAGCATGAACGGGCCTGCAAAACCTAGGAGGTTAAACCCAGTTGGTGCTGGAGTTTTTCACCAAAAGAAAACATTTTCATCCAGGTAGATTTGAGCCCAGTGCTGAGGGATCTGGGCTTCTGCTGGTCCTGAGTTCTTTTCAAGGATCCTGACAGCCAGGAGCCCCTCCATGGAAGTCCAGATGGAGGCCAAGCCTATGCCGAGAGTACACTGTGGGGCCACAGCAGCTGGATCTTCATTTGAGTATTCTGGGACAATTGTAAGCATGCAGAAAGCAGTAATGAATACAAGTCAACCTTTTGGGTGCACTCAGCAGACGACACTGTTCTGAGCCAGGCCCTGTTTTAAGCCCCAGAACTCCCAGGTGAGTTCTGCCCTTCGCAGTGTTGCAGCCCAGTGCTAGGGTTATGGAATCTTTTTCTGAAGATCAGTGGCACTTTATGGCTGGGAGGCCCAGTCCCAGCTTTCCTGGCACTTGGGTCAGTCTCACAGTCACTTTGGTCACCTGCCCAGGAAGGATAATCCCTCTTAGAATTGAAGGAATGCGTGTAATTATGCATGCACATGAAAACACATGCAGTGGCATGTGCCTGTAACCCAGGATATTGGTTTTCTCACTGAGACACAGTGCCTGACAGCTAACGGTTTTAGGAGATTCAGTCCATAGCCAGCAGGTTCCAAGGCAGGACCATTGCAGTGGAGAAAGTTGCGCAGTTCAGGGCAGCTGGGAGGCAGAGCCAGGGAAGAGCATCAGCCTGGGCAGGGGAGGGGCCGCACAGTGCCGGGTCACACCTCTACCCACTGTCCAGAAGCAGGCAGAACTGCTCCACCATCCTGCCGGGTTGGCATCCCACCCTGACTGCCACAGCCAGGTACTTGGGAGGCAGGGGCAGAGATAGGAGGATCACAAGTTTGAGTCCAGCCTGGGCACACAGACTTAGCAAGACCCTGTCTGAAGAAAGGGCTGAGGCTGGAGCTCAGTGGTGGAGCGCTTGTCCACCACTTTTTTTTTTTTTTTCTTCTTTTGGTACCGGGGATCGAACTCGGGTCCTTGTGCTTGTGAACCAGGCGGCGAAACCACTGAGCTAAATCCCCAGCCCAGGAGTGCTTGTCTAGCATGCAGCCTGGGTGAGGCGGGGGTTCAGTCATCCGTACTGAGGGGCAGTTGTGTGTGTGTGTGTTGTGGGCCTACTTGTTTATTAAGCCTTTCTGACAAAGCGCACCAATGTTTGTAGCCAGCCCTCCCTTCAGCAGGAAGACCTTTCTTGTGTTTTGTTTTGTTTTTTGGTACCGGGAATTGAACTAGGGTCCTTGCGCTTGCAAGGCAGGCGGCAGAACCACTGAGCTAAATCCCCAGCCCAGGAAGACCTTTCTTGCACTCAGGCTGCCGGGTGCCCCTTCCCAGGCACTCCTGACTTGGGGGCAGCCCCTGTCCTCAGAGCAGCTGGACAGTGTCTGTGCTTGGTGGGATGGTGACACACAACGCGACCTACACAGTGTCTGCAGACTAACAGACCTACCTCACAACTGGTGTCGGGGCAAACATACCAATGTTAACTTCTAGGTTGTGATTTGTAGACAGTTGGAAAGAGGACAAACTCTGCCCCCCACCCCCATTGGGCCCATCTTTCTCCATGACCTTTGACTAAAGTACAACAGAAAAAGCCAGGCACAGGGCCGGGGATTTAGCTCAGTGCCGCCGTGCCTGGCTCACAAGCACAAGGTCCTGAGTTCAACCCCTGGTACCATACAAAAAAAAATCCAAGTACAGACATACCTGTAGTCCCAGCACTCTGGAGGCGGAGGCAGGAGGATCACTTGAGCTACATAGGAAGACACTACAAAAAATAAAAAAGGAAGGAAGGAGGAAGTAAGTTAGGAAATGAAAGAGAATGAATTAAGAACAAGAGAGCAGTGTGCAGTGGTCCGTGCCTGTAATCCCATTACTCTGGGAGGCTGAGGTGGGAGGATTCCAAGCCTGAGCCCAGCCTGGGTGACAGACCCTGTCTCAAAGGGTAGGGGAGAAAGGAGAAGAGGGCCAAGTCCAGGCCCACGCAGCTCTAGCAGGTCAAACTGGAAGACGGGCTTAGGCTGAGGAAGCTTCCTCCAGCTGCCACCCAGCTGTGGTCTGACCCATCTCAGGGTGCCCTCTGACCTCCGAACCTTCACCACAGGAGGCTTCCAGGTCCTCTTCCTCTTTGTGCCTGGAGCTGAAGCAGGGCTACAGAAACGGGGCAGGAGCAGAGCTGGGTGCCCCTCGCCTGTCCCTGTGGTAAGGCAGGCTGGCAGGCTCACCGCCTGTAGCCTCCACCTACCAGAAAAGAGACAAACGGAACACTTGGCAGATTGATTTATTTTGGAGGAAAAACTGAGGACTTCGGGCAAGACAGGGAGTCTTGGGGCAGAGTGGAAGTAGGGAGGGTGGGGTGTCAACTGAGAAGCTGAGAGGCCAGGCCCGGGTCCAGGGACTCGCAGGAGGCAGGGATCGGAAGTCCCCTGGCTGAGCCTAGGTGACAATCAGAAGGGAGGAGATGGGTGGGGTTTACTCCTATTGAATGTAGGCCTGTCTGTTTTGAGGGTTGTTGCAGAAATTCACAAAGCAGCAGTGAGAAAATACCCAGAAGGCGAACACGGGAGCAGGCCGGATGTAGGAACAATCACTCATCTCCCTGCTGCGGCAGTCACCATGATGTCAGAGCCGCTGCCTGGGGAGGGACCGCAGCCACCAGTGAGAAGGAGGCCCCCACCCTGCCCCTGCAGAGTCCCCAGGCTGCGTCCCCTCCCAACACCCAGAAGTACCCTGCCTGGGGAGACAGAAAAGACTCCCAGAATTGGGCAGGAGTTGGGAGTCCCATTGCGTCCCCAGCTGAGCAACTCTGAAGTGTCCGAGGGGAGCTGGAGGGAAAGAGCCATTGAATTTGTGTTGACATTGGAGCGGGACTGAGGTGGGACTTGGGGAGTGAAGCAGGGAGAACCAGCACCGTGGGACCAGGTAGGAAAAAGCTGAGGAAATGTATCAGAGGGTGGCCTGCAGAAAGGAAGTGGCTGTCATCTGTTTTCTAGACTCTGCTGTTACATCGATTGCAGGTGGGGAAGATCTTTGTGCGCATGTCCCAAGAAGCTGTGCACAGGCCATTCACTGCTGACCAGCTTGAGAGAGTAAAATATTAGAAATCACCTAAGTACCCATCAACTGAGGGATGGAGATCAGCTCAGATGCCCATGCCACAGAGCCCTGGACAGCAGGGCAACATGGGAGGACGCTGTTTACAGACTGAGATGGAAAAGTGACATCTCTGTAAGTATCAAGCATGCTGCTGTCTCGGGGAGCAGAAGTAAAACAGCAAGCACTGTGTTTGCATAGGGTGCACCTTGCTAACTTAAAGGTAAGGGATTGGGTGGAACAGCAGGCACAAGTAAGGAGAGAATGTGGTCCAGTTGAATCCAGTGGGCAACTGGACATGAGGGCAGTGCTGGTCTGACATCCCAACCCAGAAGAAACCAGTCTGTGGGTATTGGTGGGCATCAAAAAAGCAGATGAGGGGCCGGGGATTTAGCTCAGTGGTTCTGCCACTTACCTTGCAAGCGGAAGGTCCCAAGTTCGATCCTGGTACCAAAAAAAAAGAAAAGAAAGCAGATGAAATCCTCTGGGAAGAAGCTGTCAAGTAAGAAGATAGCAAAGACCAAACCTTGGTGAACATGACCATCATGGATGGGTCAGGGAGAATAAGCCAAGACTCAGGAAAGGAGTCCTGGAAGTGTCAAAGGGTGACACCAGCAGAATGACAGCTGTGCTGACAGCTGAGGAGCAGGTGGCTTGAGGAAACGCCAGCGCTCCTGGAGGTCCCCAGGGTCCCTTTTAAGGCTGGGTGCCCCCGGAGGGTGGGAGCCAGGCAGCTGTGAGCCGATCGGGGAAGTGGGGGAAGTGGGGACAGGAAGTGGCTCGGAAGGAAAGGGACAGAAAAACCCCTCAGGGTTGTGGGAATAGGACTCGGTGCAGGTTAGGGGCTTAGGAGAGGCCCGGTTCAGGACAGGGCTGGGCCTGTGGCAGGAGATGGCAGCTTAGTATTTCTTCGTTTGTTTGCACATTTGTCGGATGCTGGTGCTCAAACCCCAGATGCTGAACTTGCTAAGCAGGCGCGGCACCCCCCCTTCCCCTGCCAGCTTACTGTTCCTTATGTGCAGAGTGATGCAGCTGCTGCCTGCTGGCATGAGGCAGATGTCAGACCCCAGCAGGCACCCCAACTCCTTGCTCTCAAGGAGGCATCAGTAGCAGTGCAGGTATTTGGGGAGCGGAGGTGGCTGAGGGAGGTTCTGGTTGGGGAGAATGATCTTACCTAGAACACAGAGAAGCAAACCCTAAGCCCCTTGTACCCGATTCCAGGCTGCTCCACCTCAGCACTCGCTCCCCACCTCTGAAAACCAAACAGTCCTGATTCCTTAAAGTCTGGCTTAATAGACCCAGAGCTTTGGTCCTCTCTGGAGTCTCCACTCTCTGCTCTCCTACTCCGGAGATTAGAACTTACTAGCTCACTCATTCTTTCTTCAACATGTACTCAAAGAACTAACATTGCCCTGCACGCTGCAAGCTCTGGATTCAAGGGGAAGCTGAAGCAGTCCTTCCTCCGCGATGTGGTTTCTCAGTCCCCCAGCCCTAGACGCTCTTCTGATCATTCCTTCTGGGGATTTTTTTTCTCCTTTGTAGTCTTGAGCCAGAGGGTCTCACTATGTAGTCCAGGCCAGCCTAAAACTTGCTACGTAGCACAGGCCGGCCTCACACCGTCCTCCTGCCTCAGCTTCCTGAGCGCTGGCATCACAGGTGTGCAAAACCATACCCAGCTCGGTCCTGTGTTCTTAATCCATAATGTTCAGAAGTGAAAGGAAGACCACATCACCGGCAGGGGCTCTGTGTTGGTGCAGATGGAGACTCCAAGCAGCCGTGTCAGTGCTTTTATTTTGGTGGTGCAATCACTGGACTTTCCCACCAAAGTGCCCGCTCTCTGCTTCCTTCCCCAATGACATGCTTATCCAGCCCTTCTTCTGGTCTTCTGCCCAGACCACATGTCAATGAGTCTCAGACCCAGCAGAGCAGAGGCAAATGCTAAAAGAAAACACTTGGAATCTTGCTTTTCAGTAGATGCTGTTTTGCAGCCCAGTGAGCTTATCAGGGTGGACTCAGCCTCGCTCCACCCTGTGGATTCTGTTCTACCGTTGTGAGTGTCCCCAGCCCTCCCTATTGTGTTGTCCCCAGGCTGCAGAGGATCCCTTCTGGGTCTACTCAGGTCAGGCTGGTGAGTGAGACAGCTCTGGGTGCAACCCTCAGTCCATAGTGGTCTCAGGCCTTTCCCCAGCAAACCGGTCCATCAAGTCCCAGGGTTCCTGCCAGCAGGTTAGCCCAGCTTGCTGGGTGGGTAGGTTTCTCACAGAGCAGGCCAGCAGACCCTTCCGACCCCCCCCCCGGAGCTACTTACTGAACACCATGCTCGCTGTCACCACCACTATTAAGAACATCTTGTACAGGCCTTGAACAGTGCTGCGGTGGCCCAGGAGCCCCAGCCTCCAGCTCCTGCAAGGCCTGCCACAAGATGCATCACTGCCCTTGGCCGCTAGTCCGGGGTTATATTGGCAGGTGAGAGGCTGGCCAACAGGAAGGAGAGAGGCGACACATCTGGGAAGGGAGTCAGTGCCAGAACAGCCACAAGGTCCCAGTGTCCACACCCACATCCTGGGCTCCAACATCCTGGCTTGGGGCCTGGACCCAGCGCCAGAGGAATGAGAGGAGAAAATTTCTTTTATATCCATTCCGCAAATGTTTACTGAATCATGTGTTGGGGGTACAAGTGTGCAAAGTCCCTCACTTCACAGGGCAGAGTTGAGTGGGGAAACAAAGTCAACAAGCAATGGGGGTGGGCAGGGTGCTGCTGGGAGCACCGCAGAGAGGAGGTGAATTGGGCTTGGAAAAGATGCATCATTGCACACTGGAGAATAAAAGGGTTAAGAGTGGAGGCCAGGCCGAGGATTTAGCTCAGTGGTTCTGCTGCCTGCCTGGCAAGCACAAGGACCCAAGTTCAATCCCCGGTACAAAAAAACCCCAAAAAACAAGAGTGGAGGCCATAAACTAGGAGTGGTGACACAGCCTGTAATCCCAGCATTCTGAGAGGCTGAGGCAGGAGTTTCCCAGCATGGGCAACTTAGGGACTTAGGGGGATCCTGTCTTTAAAGAAAGAAAAAGAAAGGGCTGGCAATATAGCTCAGCGCAAAGGCCCTGGGTTCAACCCTCAGCCCTGACGGAGGGCATGGATGGGAAGCTCTTTCTGAATTCCGGCGCCAGATGGCGCTCTGGGTTCGCGGAAGAGGGGCAGGGACGCCGAGACGTGGGAAAGAACCCGAGCTGGTTTAGAAAAAATCAGACAGACTTGGCGTCAGACTGGATGTGGGGCGAAGGAAGGGGGGAGGCCTGCACGCGGAGGTGACCGGTGGTATAGTTTTCCAAGCCGGGAAGGTGGTGGCGAGGACACCGGGATCCGGAGGGACCCGTCCTCAGCCCGGGGCCCCTGGGTGGCGCCCTCTCCGCCCCCGCTTTCTCCAGCCTCGCACCTCTGCTGCAAGTCAGTGGGCTCGATCTCCGGCGCCTCACTGCGCTGCGCCTCGGAGCTGGGGTCCGCACCCAGCGACCGCGACCGCGACCGCGCGTGGGGACCTGGGGGTCGGCGCCCGACGCCTGCGCCTGGCCGGCTTCCCCGAGAGGCGGCGCAGGGGCGTCCCATCACTCCCGGGGCCGCTGCGTACCGAGGCGCCGGTGCCCCGACTTTTCGTCCCCGCCTCGCGCCTGTTGGGTCCCCGTCTCGACGGCTGTTGCAGCTGTGAGAGCCTCGGGCCACCTGCTCCGGCTCCCCGCGGAGGGGGGGGGACCCTCCCGCCCGGGACCCCGAGGCCGGGGCCGTCCCGCAGCCATCTGCCCTCGGGTGTCGAACCTGAGCATGCGGGCGCCCAGCAAGACGCAAGGGAAGAAAATCCAGAGGAAAGCGGTGCCGCTGCGCGCCCCGCCCCGCCCCGCCCCACCCCGCCCCGCCCCAGCCTGAAAGGAAGGAGGCTGAGAAATTTAGAGAAAGTCAGAGTGGTGGCGAGCGGGGCGCGGGGCCGCCACGTGTTCAGAGGTCTGTGGAATATCGGAGCGCGCCGAGTGAGGGACAGAACTGAGAGCGGGTGGCTCTGGAGGGGAGGGCCAAGGACCAGGGCCAGGTAGAGCTGGGCTCCCGGAGCCCGCCCCAGACTCAAGGAGCGTTCCCGCGCCCACGCCGCGCGCGCGGCCGAAAGGAAGAGTCAGGATGGGGCGGGGCCTCCGGCGGGGCGGGGCCTCTGACGTTAGCCCGGGAGCTCTAGTGCGTTTCCTTGGAGACAGTTTCCACGGAGGCTTTCCTAGGAAGGGGCGTTGCCACAGTCGCCATGGTGACAGTAGCAGTGGACGCCATCCATGCAGAGTGTCCCTCTTCCGTCAAAGGATACCTGTGATAAACATCCCAGGTAAGAAACTAAGGAGGCCACAATTAAGGGACTGGGGCGAGGCAAATTGAGGGGTGAGGTGAGAAGGATGTGGCCCAGCAAGAGCCAAGTTCTGTTACAGGGTGCAGTCTGGAGAGGGACTGGTCAGAGGTCTTTAGCCTGAATGTGGATGAATAACTGAGCTCCCCGCGGTGGTGCCTGTCTGTAATCCCAGCACTGTGGGATGGGAGGATGAGGCAGGAGGTTTGCAAGTTTGAGCCCAGCCTGGGCAGCTCAGCAATTTAGTGAGACACTATTACAAAAAAAAAAAAGTCTGGAATGTAGCTTAGTGATAGGCCCAAGGCCTGGGCCACCATCCTCAGGGGCCCTCACTAGTGACAGCTGGCACCAGAAAGAAACAGGGCTCTCCTAGGGGCTTGGAGCAAAACCTCAACTCCAGGATGCAGCCTGGAGTCCTGCACCTCACCCCAGGACCCTGGATCTGAGAGATAAAGTAGGATGAGGTGCAGTTTTGGCCAGGTTTCCCACCAGGCTCTAAATTCCCTTCTCCTTCACCCTCACCTTGGTTTACCCAGCTGCTCAGGTGCCTGGGTGTTCAGGCCTCACCTAGTGACCAGGCAGCAGGGTCCCAAGCCCCAGCAGTTGTGGGGTGCCCACTTCACATGACTTCCTGAGACTGCTGGAACTTGCCTTGGGTGAGAGCATGCTGGTCCTGCCCTGTAGTGGGGCAGTTCTGAAGACAAACATGGCTACTGTGAGCCTTGTCAGTGAGAGTAACCGGAAGTAGACTGAGGCCCCTGGGTGGGGTGGCCCAGAATCCATAGGTTAGGCCACTCCATCCCACCCACTTCGGGTGTCCAAAGGGAAAGTGGCAGTAGGAAAGTCTATGGACTCCCTGGTGGTCATGGCAAGGAAGGGGGAGCCCTTGTCTCCAGGGTGTGGGTGCCCCGTATTTGCATTTAAGGAGGTTCCTTTTCTTGTGCCAAAGCAGACTAGCTCAGTGCTACAGCCAAGTGTCACAGCTCTGAGGCACAGCTGAGTGTCAGAGCTCAGTGTTACGGCTCTGGGTTGAGGCTATTGCAATTTGAAGACTGGAGAATCCAGTGGTCATTCGAAGAGGTGGAGAAAAGCCTTTATCATGTTGGCAAGTTCAGAGGACTTCATACTTGAAGTCTGAACCCTCTACCAGAAAGGAGAGCCTCCTTATATAGGGATCTACAGGGCAGGTGAGCATGCTCACTGAGCAGAGGGGCGGAGTTACAGAACATTCTCCCAAGAGGGCGGACCTTAACAACATTCCTGAAAGGTCACACAGTTCAAACAATCACAAAACATTTTGGTACATTGGGCAGGAGCCCAGCAGCACAAAGTTACATTTCTGGTACAAAATATTTTGTGGAAAAGAAAAACTATGGAGGCAAGGCGAGGGAAAGGCAAGGGCCTAGCTTATTGTGTATCATTGTACTATCACTTTAGCTGAAGCAAGGTGGTTTCCAGAAGATTAACTGTCCTGTTGGATTGGGGGGGCGAGGTTCAGAACCATGCAGCAGACCCCACACCCTGGACTCCACACTTCTCACGCTGTTTGGCTCCCAGGGGAGAGGGCCCCCAGAACAGCTCTCCACCTACAGTGTGCTGGTGGTGGAGCATTCGGGAGCTGTGGTCACCGCCTTCCGACCCCAAATTTCACCTACCACATCTACTGGGAAGTCCAGTTTCCCTTCCTGTAGGACTCTATACCAGTGGTGGCGAACCATGGCGTGTGTTTGTTTTTCTTCTAAGACAAAAAGATGTTAATGTAGGAGCTCTCTTTTCTAAACTAAAACCTCAATGTCCAGCTTTGATTGCAGTGTTGGCGCTTTGTGATAGATAAGGGCTTGGGGTTGCAGTTCAGGCGCTCAACTCTAAAAGGTTCACCATCGCTGCCCTGTACCTTCCTTAGGGAGCTGCTGAGAAATGGAGCCAGAGTTACAGAGAAGGGTCATGCACCTGAGATAGAAATCAGCCAGGGGCAGGGGTTCAGCTCAGTGGTGCC